AACATGGCAGTAGATGGATGAAGTTTTTACTAGTAAAACATCTTGGATACAACCAAACATCTTAAAGTTTAAAAAGTCTTTTCAGTTTTAATATATTTACAAATGTAATTTATATGTGATGGCAAAACTTCATTTTCAGCAGTCATTAATTAATTTTAATTCATTTTCATCCAGTCTTTAATGTCACATGATCCTTGAGAAATCATTTTAATATGCTGATTTGCTGCTCAAAAACATTTCTTAATATTATCTGTGTTTAAAACTAATTGTGCTGTTTAATGTTTTAGCATTTATTTGAAATATAAATCTTTTGTAACATTATAAATGCATTTACTGTCACTTTTGAACAATGTAATGCATCCTGGCTAAATAAAAGAGTAACGTTTTACAATTTGTTAACATTGGGTAATGTATTTTTGCAGCATGCAAACTGTTAATAAAAGTGATCCTGTTCATGTTACTTGCATTACCTCATGTTAACAGATACAACTTTTGTTCTTAAAAATGTTCAAATTAACATCAGCTAAGATTAATAAATGCTGTAGAAGTATTGTTGATTGTTAGTTCATGTTAATGTATTTAACTAATGTTGTTAAAGTAAACCCTATTGTAAAATTCTATATTTCTTTCTTGTAATGTTTCTTGAATTACATACTGTAGATACAGATTACATATAGATACATGCATTTAAATGTCAGGATCAGAAACAGACCCACACAGAATCCTGAAAATATGAGCAGGTGTGCCATTAGGTAAGCTATTTCTAATTCAGACATCAAGTTTGATTTGTCTCATGAAATTCACAACAGATATTCAAGCAGACTTTTTATCCAAAGATAAACATCACTGCAGTTTAACTATTAGTGTTTTAACAAGGAGACAAACAAATGTATCTCTTGTCTGTTGAAGGACAAACCTGAAGAGAAGGTTAGTAAAGGTTACAAGAAGAAAGAGAAAGGTCACAGAGAGGTTTGCCTTTAGCAAAATTGTGGGGAAACAAGTCTTAGCTCTTTAACCAAAGTTAATAAATCTCTACAAATGATTTAATACTGTTAATATCCATAAATAAGCCATGGAAACATTCTTCATTTCTTCACTTTACATGCTAGACAAAGGTGATGGCAGTCCAGTTGTAGTCCTTTTAATGTGAGAAATCAAAACAATAAAATAGAACGCGTTTTAAATGTAGTTCCTGTGTGTGCTGTAAGTGTTAACAGAGCAGACCGAGATCAATTCTGACTAAAGGGAACCTGAATGCTGTCATAAGAAACTCTTTAACTGAAGGGTGTTTTTGGTGCAGATTTGCGGTTTCTGTGGCTCCTTATGAAGCAGTGGGTTGTATTTCTGAGAATTCCGAAGCACAGAATCAATCAGCACATTTCATTACGTACACATACACACACATTCCACACAGAGGTATGTAATGCAGATTCTGCTGCCCTCTTCTGTCACTCTGACAAACTGCAGTCTTGCAACAACTCTCTTTAATGCACAGACTTATACACCACATACAGGATAAATTCCACTGCTTTATATCCAAAAATACTTCTCTTCATATTTCACGGTATACTTTCACTTTCTGAGAATGACACTCATAAAGATAGATGGAGTTGTGTCTTTTGATAAGTGTGGTGTTCTCAGCAAACCTCTGCACATTCCCAACTTGACCTTTATCTATCAGGGGTCAGATGTCAAGGATCTTTATGAGTAACTCAGTAATGTGGATGAGGGGGGCACTTATATATACTTCAACCCCTAATCAAAGGCACAACAACAGTGAAAAACCAATTAACGTTCACCTCAAAAATCAGGATAATAAAATGATTTTTTTTATTTTCTGTGCAGTATAAGATTGTTCAGTAGAACTCTCTCTCATCTAAAACTGTGTATGTGAAGTGTTTCTGCATCCATTTGTATGTAAATGCCAGCATGTGTGCTCTTTGTTGGTGTGTGTTTCATTTGATCTTCATCTCATCTTTGAAGTTTGACTTATGCCCTCTCAACTGTGACCCCATGTTGGATAAAACTGTGGAGGGGTCGGGTAATTCGTTCAAAAAATTAACATACACGCAAAAGTTCTCTCAGTCCTCTCAACAGCACAAAGCTAAAGAGTATGCATATCAAGACAGAAAAAAGAGAAAAACCTAGGAAAAGATAACAGTGGCAAGAAAACAAATGAGAACCAATGAGAACTGATTTAAGAGCCAAACTTTTTAAACAGTATGATCAGGGTAAATTGTACTTATTTTATCTGAAGAACAGTACTAAATTCATATATACATATACAGTCCACTCCTTGTGAAGCTCTCCCAAGTGTTTGAATCGGCTTTGCTTGACAGTATTCTCAAGCTTGCGGTCATCCCTGTTGCTTGTGCACCTTTTCCTACCAATTTCTTCCTTCCAGTCAACTTTGCATTTAGTATGCTCTGATACAGCACTCTGTGAACAGTCATCCCTTTCAGTAATGACCTTCTGTGACTTACCCTCTTTGTGGAGGGTGTCAATGATCGTCTTCTGGACCATTGCCAAGTCAGCACTTTTCCCCCATTATTGTGGTTTCAAAGAACAAGAGATACCCGGAATTTATACTGTAGGGATGGTCATTTAATGAAACTCAAATGTAAATATTCTAATATTTTGAGATACTGGATTTTTGACTTTCATGAGCTGTAAGCTCTAACCATCAAAATAAAAAAATAAAAAAATCTTTACATGTAATGAATCTAGAATTTTTTACTTTCATGAGCTGTAAGCTCTAATCATCAAAATTAAAACAGAAAAAAAAACTTTTAAAATGTTTTACTTTACATGTAATGAATCTAGAATATATGAAAGTTTCACTTTTTGAAATGTTACAAAAAAAAAAACTTTTTCACGATATTCTAATTTTTTGAGATGCACCTATAATATATATTCAATTCAATTCAATTCAATTATAATATATATATACACATACATACAGATTTTTATGGATCATAAATAATATGTATACTGAATTTTAAAATCATACAATTGTGATACCATAAGCAGACCCACATGAAATATGGGCACACTGTATTCCACCGAAGGTTCAGCAGATTTCAATGGAATTCATTACACCCAGTCCCATGTGGGCTTGATTGTGACATTTACAAGGAAGCAGCATTTCCCTGCTGAATCTTGATGTACCATTACAAACATGCTCGAACATAGTTCATCTTAAAATTCAGTCGACTGAACCACACTGAAGAGGGACATCATATTTGCATATAGATGTGCAGAAAAAGTCATGTACTTGCTTGTCTGTGGAAAAGATTGAGAGCCACGGCACCAAGACCTGTGATCTAAAAGAACTAAAAAAGTTGCACCTTGAGGATTCTCCCTGTAATTAGCATTGTGTATTTCACTCTGGATAAATTCTGCTACTAACTAACATGACCTCAAACGTCAAGTCGTAAGAGGAGACACAGTCATCTCTCTCTTACGAAAGCACTCAAAATGCATGCTGTTTGAGGAGAATACTAACTCTTTTATAAGACCTGCAGGGCTTGCAAATGCTCCAGAGTTTATTTAAAACCAGTAAAAGATCTGGACGGAGCTCGGCCCGGAAACACACCTAGTCTCTCAAGGCTTATTATAGCACAGGATCAAAAGTCCAGATGATAAATCCCACCTTCTCCTCTCAACACTCAACAGAGCCCCTCCACATTTTCTCAGCTACTGCCGCCAAGTTTCGCATTGCAGTTTAATTGGGTTTATAGCGCCATCTAGTGTAAAAAGAAGAGACTTGTCTTATATGACAGAATTCATGTCATTCACACATTCATTCATTCATGCATCTATCTATCTATCTGTCTGTCTGTCTGTCTGTCTATCTAGACTCCCATACAGTAAATTATGATAGAAAATTATTGAAGTAAAAATAATTGGTAAAAAAAAAAAACTTTGGGACAGAACTCCTAGTTTTTTTGTTTTTTTTTTAAATCCATATTTAATTTCACACAATATGAAAAATAACTTCCATTAAATGAACTGTACATCTTAGCTACAAATGTAGTTAATGCATGAACAAATACATTTGCTTTGTGACTGGAGCAGTCAGTACCCACTTTGCACTTCCCTTGCAATAAATCCATTCATCCTCACTACTGCGAAACAATTACGGTACTATAGGTTTTTGGGAAAGTGCTGTAGTTGTTTTTATTGCCATGTAATATTAAATCACATTCAAAATTACAAGGGGTCTTTTACCCCAGATGGCCTTTTATTTCCACTGTGTGTGAGGGGCTATTTGTGTTAAATGAAACTGATTACTTTGTGTAGCTATAGATAGATAGATAGATAGATTCTGTCAGGTATTTTGAGCCTTGTTCCACTGCTAAAACGTCGTGGTATTTATAGGGTAATTTTTTACCGAAAACGGATGAAAATGACCGGAGGACGTTTATAGTCTATATATTTCCTCACGCACACTACCCCTCTACGCTCGTAACCGGGATCTGTGTGTCTAGCCGAGCTAGGCGAGCGGGGTGATTCCTCGCAGGGTGGGGTGGGCAACAATGCGCGCTGTTGAATTAAATGGTGAGCGCGTAGTGAATGAAGTTTCAATGGAGGAGGCAAGGATGCGCGCGACAGCGCACGCGCCACACCCCCGCCTTCAATTAAAACATCTCAGGGTTCGTCTGAGTGCTAGCGAATATGGCGACAGGGTGAAGGAGACCGCGGAAAGATGACAAGCCCCCTACAGACAGACAAACACGCACGAGCTCTTCGCCCCGCCGCCTCAGAGATGCCCGTGAATGAGTAAGACGCGGCTGCGTACGATGTGTTGTCAAGGAGATGCGGGGTAGGTGATGGAGTCCCGCGGCAGGTGCTTTATCATGCACTGTCTCGGTAATTCAGACGCAGGTGTTTGCAGTGCAGCTTGATTTTGAGCAGCAGGTGAAAGGGACGCTTCGAGTCATCATGTAAACGTCGCGGTGGGGAATATTGCGGAGGAGACCCGCCCATGTGAGCTCGCGCTTTGTCTCCCTCTAAAATATGATCACGGGCGCCTGGCGCTGTGGAAGGAAACTTGACGCCAAGTTAGAAATCTGCCGCGTGACCGAATCCATCGACAAACCGTGCGCGGAGCCGGAGAAGGTGCAGAGATGGCGCATGAGCCTCGCGTCGCTGCTCTTTTTCACGGCGCTGCTGTCCGATCACCTCTGGCTCTGCGCGGGAGGCAAGCTCCGCTCGAGAGACCGGACTCAACGGAGGACGTGGAGCAACGCGAGTCACGACGCTGAGACGGGCCTTCGCGATGAGGACTGCGGGGTCCTCTTGAGCAACCTGACGGAAAACGGGCCAAAGTGCGTGGAGGCTGACGCGCGGCGTCGCGCGCCTCTGGAGTCCTCGTGCTCTACGCTTTACCGGCAAAAGAGCGGCTTGGTGAGCTCCTCCTATTCTGTGCCGGTGCCCACGGTGTCGCCACACGCGTTTTTGGAGTACTTCCGGAACTTCAGCTTGTCCTTTTGCGACGCGCTCACAATAGCGGACCTACTGGAGAGCATGACCGGTCCTGACGGGCTCAACTGCAGTCTGACGCGTGTCATTCGTGACCTGTTCAGCGGCGGACCAGAGGACGGGGACCTGTGCAGCGCTTGTGTTCACGCGTACATCCGACTCGACCAACACGCTCAGGAAAAATATGAGGAGTTTCAATTCCTTACGCGCAAATTCATGACTGATGACTACTCAGTGCGCGCGCAAACACACCTGTGTCAGGTGAGATGCTCTTTTTAGTCACTTTGGATGACGTATAGACATGATATGTGTAGATGCATTTGAATCTGAATAATAGTTTGGTAACGTGTGTTTCAGGCAGTGTATAAAGCCTGGCTCTGTACAGAATATTTTCCGGTTCCTCAGCGGCAGTGTGTGAGGTGGCTTCCATGCAAGCACTATTGTGGTGTGGTCACAGCCAGCTGCCCCTTCATCCTACCTGACAATGACCATCTGCTGTATGCCGGTCTGCCAAGCTTTCTCTGTGCAGGTAAATCACAGAATACATACACTATATGACCCAGCGTTATATGTGCAGCCCCTTCTAATCATCAGGTTTGGCTGTTGCAGTAACTGTACTGAATTGGGTTCTTCCAACTTTGTTGCAACAGTCTGGCCTGCACAAATCCCGCTGAACAGCTTTGGGATGAATTGGAACAGAGAGTTCATACCAAAGGTGTTCAGTGGGGTTCAGGTCTAGACTTTGTGCAAGCCAATCAAGTCCTTCCGCACCAGACTCAGTAAACCAGTTCTACACAGACCTCGTGTGCACAGGCTCATTGCTATACTGAAATAAAAAGGGACATTCTTCAGACGTTGAAGTTGAAAGTACAATTCTTAAGAACATTCATCCCCACAGAAATAACTGGAATTACACACATTTTTGGCTATATTAGACATTATTATTATTAGACAGTTAACTGATCAAATTCATAATCTGTGTCTTTGACTAAACTACTACACTGATTAAGGTCACAAAAGCCTTCAGTACCATTTATTAGTTCATGCAGTGTTGTTATTGTTAACTAAAACTAATAAAATCATATTTGTTAATTGAAAAAAATAAAATGTAAATATTAGATGAAAAGCTTAAATGAAAATCAGAAATGTGGGCTTAGCAACTTATAACTAAAATAGTTTAAGCTGGAGTACTAAAATTACTAAAACTGAAATAAAGCTAAATAGAAATCGAGAACCAATAAAAAACAAATAATCACTTTAAATCAGTAAATCTCTAACTTAAAGTAAAACCTGAAAATATAAAAGCTTGTTCAAATACAGAGCCCGCCATAAGTATTGGGACAGTAAAGACAAAATTGCTCTCTTTGCTGTGGAGTCAAGAAATCTGTAAATATGATTAAAAGATGAATATGAGACAAAACTACAGAATGTCACATTTTATTATTGGGTGTTTCAACACATAAATGGTTTACCAGCTAAGAAGATCAGCACTTTTTCAGTTTGGAACAGTTGCCTCACAGGTCTTTCTAAGTGATCAGCTGTTTCCTGTTGCATTAATTGTTCAGATATTAAAAGCAGGGAATGTGTCATATCAGTTATATCCGTTGCTTCTGCATTCTGCAGTGCTTCTGCAGTCTTGCATTCGATGACGACACACACAAACCTGGAGCTGACTTTGAGAGAAAAGCAAGCAATTTGGATGCTAAAAGAAAGGAGGAAGTCAATTAGAGCTATAGCAAAAACAAAGGGCATGGAGAAATCAAGAGTCACCCCACCCGCAACCAACAACGACCTGATCGGCTGAGAAAAACAACAGCAGTTGATGAAAGCTGTGAAAATGAACCCTAAAATACATGTCTGTAAAATCACCAACAACCTCCAGAAAGCTGGGGTGATGCTCTGACAA